ATATATATATATATATATATGAAACCTGGAGGAACATCTCCAATGGGGCATCAAATATAGCATCAACTTCATCTGGATTAAGGACAGGCTTGAAATCCTGTATCCTGGATAATAGTCCTACAACCGGCACCACCCTTAGTAAATTCTGCATTTATTTCCACCCATGTTTTTTTACAATTAAAATTTAAATGACTTATTTAAAATCTGAAAAATAACCAATTAAAAATACATGGACACATATACCGAAGAAATAAAAGGGTCTAAGTTGGCAACGACCCGGACAAGACCCGGATCAAGTCCAATTTCCTCCGTTGCTTCTCTTAGAGCTGTTGCTGAGTCATCAACGTCGCCTTCGTCCATCTTTCCACCTGGCAATGCCACATCTCCTAACACACATTTATATTTGGGAAAAAAAATCGATGAAGCCTTTGAGTTCTTTCGAATAGTAGTAGCACCCGTTTTTTTTTTAAATATGGAAAAGAAGAATGAACGAATGAATGAACGGAAAAACCTGGATGAGAAGATAGGTTCATGGATCTTCTTGTAAGAATCACGCGTAGTTCGCCGTCTGTCGTCCCAGTAAAAATGCATATCAAGACTGCAGCTCTTTTCTTTCTTGATAAAACAGTAGTCATGTTTTTTGCCATGCAATTAACTAATTGTTCATCACCATTTTTGTTATCCAGAACTTTATCCTTCAGATCATGTACCAGTTCTTCATACTCACTTTCACAGTTATTCATACTGATATAAACACACAGTATATAATCTCTCTCTCTCTCTCTCTCTCTCTCTCTCTCTGCACACAAGTATACACCATATTTATATGCAATATATGAAGCTAGCTTTTAATACTGTAGAATCAGTGGAGTATAAGAATTATTGAGCCATATTTTTTTTGTCTGATGTGGCAAATAGTGGGTTGGGAATATTATACTAGTCCAACTTTAATGGAATATTATAAATTATTTTGAAAATCTTTTTTTTTTTATAAATAAATTAGGAAAATTGATGCCAATCTATGAACATTGAACACCACCAAGCATATCGGATCTTCTTAGCTTTACCCCCTTCAAATTTGTTTCTAAAGTTATCGATTCGATATTGATATATGACGTCATTTTCTACACTATATTCTAAAATAGAGGAAGCCTTCCCGAAAGTTCATCCGTAAGAATATGATCGTACATTTTATCGATGGGCCAATATTACTCAAAGTTAAAAAGAATCTAAGAAATTATCAACAATGCGTGCTATTATTTTAATCCACTAACTAGGTCATCCTTGCGAAAATTTATACATTATACGTTGTATAGGACTTTAATATACATGTGTGTATATATAGACTATAGATATAGAAGAAGTACGTCGACGTTTAAGGGAATGGTGCACGACTTGGGCTTAGGTTTGTTAAACTCTCTAAACAAGTTGGGTTTAGGTCTTAAGTAGGGTATTAGAACAATAAATACTACCTATACTTAGCCCCAATTCACATTTATGTTAAAACCAATAATGGTTCCATAATTGTTAGATAAATTAAATTCACAGCAAGATATATAATATCGAAATTAGATATTAAAAATAATATTTAAATGCATGATATATTATTCTTTTTGTTTTTTGGGTAATGTTATCGCATGAGATAAAAGAAGCTAAGGAAGCCAGGAACACAACTCGGGCACGTTTGTGGTTTTTTCTTCGTCTAATTTATTTTTTGTTTATTATTAATATTTTTTTTGGTTACGTTTATATGTCCGTTCTAGTGCTAAAAAAGTATCTAAGGTCTCAATCGAAATAATATACTTGTTATCGAAAATGCTGAACCGGAGATTCTTGGACCATAAGAGATACTTCTTATCCAAAATTCTATTTCCATCCCATAGTTTTATTAGCGATTTTTAAATGATAGTCGAAAAAATATAATTTATGAACATTTTCCGTTATGATTTTCTTTAAATATACTCAGTTGGTTTCTGTTTGTTTGATCATTGGAACTTTGAGTAATTTTGGTTCATTTTCACGTGTAAATGAAAAGGAAATTGTTTGTTGTAATTAATAACAATAATATAAATAATATAAACCAACTAGCTTATCACAATTGGCCCATTAGCTCAGTTGGTTAGAGCGTCGTGCTAATAACGCGAAGGTCGCAGGTTCGAGACCTGCATGGGCCATTTGTCAAATTTTTTTGTTTCTTTTTCTATATTTTTTGATTTTAAATTATTTTCATAAAAAATGGCTAATTATTTTAAATTTTTAATTGACCTGTGAGCTAAAGCGCAGATGCTGGATCACACAAACCCTAACTAAAACTTCGTTTTCCTATATTTTTTGGTTTTAAATTATTTTCATATATATACATATATATATATACTCCATTTCCTTGAACATATATATATATATATACACATTAAACTTTCGCACAGTTCCCCAGAGATACCAAGGATAAGCTTACGAACATAAAATATATGTAATATGTAATATATCAAATAAAGCATTACTATTTACTATATTATTAACATACATCTAACTAGTTATTACCCTATATATATTAACTATTAAACATTGTTATTTCCAGTAACCTAAGGAAGTAATTATATATCAAAATCATATTAATTATTTGGTCTAAATTATATTCAACATCCCATTAAAGCATGCTAATTAGATCTCGCAGCAAAATATAAGAGAAGAGATTAAAAACAACGACGACGTTTCGTTTATTACCATAACAATATAATCTTCTTCATGCTACAAGAAAATTAAAAATCAGAAACAATAATGCATGTAACAGAAACAAGTACCTCATCAAGCTCTCACTCAGAATTAAATAATTCATAGAGTCAGATCAAGAGTACTCGCCCCTCTCGCATTTTCGTTACCAACGACAACACTAACAACATCTTCTTTCACCTTCTTGTTATAAATCTTCTTCGACGACGCACTCGTGTAAAGCGACAACCCTAATTCTTCATATCCATCTTCGTCGTTTCTTGATTCCACCGCAAGAGATAGATTCAAATCCACTTCGAAATCGGAGGCTTTTCGTTTCAATCCAGTCTCTCTCATAATTTGGCTAACGATAATCGGGGGATTGATATTCACACTAGGGTTTTGTGTAGATTGACCTAACAAGGGTTCTTGCTTGTATAGTGATCGGTATTCGTCTTGTTTCGGAACTCCTTCGTTGTTGGTTCGCCAGGTGGATCTTTCGAAGAATGGGGATGTTTTCGAGAAAAGATCGAGATTAATATTATTCGCTGACGACCTGTTATACTTATAGTAGTGGCTGTCCAAATTATTATTAATAGTACCATAAAACCCTGGTTTTATTGTCTTGTTGTTTATGTTCTGAGCAATAGATGAATTCTGCATCCATTTTCCATGGCCATCCCAAGTAGCTGCATCTCCGTTCCTCGGGAAACTGATCGGGATTCGGAACGAAAAAAACAACAAAACTCAGACGACACAAAGTACTAATGAATGAACCCTAATATATAAAGAAATGATTTTTTTATTTTTTTTGTAATTTTTTTTTCATTAGGATTTAATTTATGACGGGGTCGAAAATACCTGATATTAGAGTTTTGCGGCCTTTGATTAAAGGTTGGGAGAAGAGGGAGCTGGCTTAGATTGTATATGTTTCGATCTACACCTTCCATGAAAAACCTTTGATCTTTCATTCCTGTATGTATGGTTAATCAAGAATTAATTACATAATTAGTGAGGAAAATAATTAATTAAAAGAAGATAATTAAACTCAAGATCAAAATGCTAATTAATATACCTTGATTGGATTCATCAATCCTCTTGCTCCTGTACATCTGTAGAACCACAACCAAAATCATAATTTAAATGATAAGTTCACAAATCAATCGAATCATTTCGATCAATCAAGAAATTAAAAAAACCTAGATTTCAATTTTAATCATAATTAATTAAATAAATAATTACCTGCAAATGGCTCTTGACATGAGAAATATTTAGTCCTTTGATCCCCATAAATTGAAGCACTAATTTTGGTGTTGCTCCTACATCAAAACCAATACAAGTTAACTAATTAAAATTAAACAAATTAAAATATTTGGAAAATGAAATGAAATAAATTAAAAGATCTGGAAATGAAATGAAATAAAGTAAAACTCATTACTCTCTTGTCCACCGAGTCTTTCGACAGCGTGCATAAAACGGAGATGAAGATCGGGGGTCCACCTAAGCCTAGGCATCTTGGATCGAACATAAGGCCTAACAGACGGCTTATTCTTCTCGCTCTCTTCGACCGTACTATTGCTTGAGCTTCCTCCATTATCTAATTTCACCGTGCAGCTTCCTTCTTCTTCATCACTGACCTCATCGTCGTCATCATCGTCGTCGTCGTTTATTACCTCAAAAGGGCTTGTCTTAAAACACTCCTCCTTTTCGCCAATATTCCGTCCTCCCATTATACGGATGACAAAGTAAATAAACAAAAGTGGGATGCACACTTATATACAGATCAGCTCTACAATACTACTTTGAGATCAAACTAGCTAGGGTTTTCTTGTAAGAAGCTAGATCGAGATCGATCAATCGACGAACGGATATCTAGCTACTCTACCTCTTCGTCTATACTATACTATACTATATATATGTATATATATGGAGTCTCGCACATAATTAGCGAATCCGATCCTTGTTAACGAAGCATGAGAACTTCATTAAACTATGCATCCTTGAGACTGATAATCTGCAATTCTACATCAAGAAATGAAGAATAAAACCCTAAAATATGAGACGAATATGTGAAAGTCTCTCTCTCTCTCTCTCTCTCTCTCTCTCTCTCTCTCTCTCTCTCTCTCTCTCTCTCTCTCTCTCTCAACTCTAACACCCCCTCACAAGGTTCCAAGGCAGGCCAATGACTTCCCATTTTAATATAAAAACTATATATATATATATATATATATATATATATATATATATATATATATATATAGATATATATATGTATGCGTGTATGTATGTATATGCATGATGTTGATATGTAGGGAAGAAATTACAATATAAATACACTCATGTGAAGCCAGTTCACACTGTCCACCTTCTAAGAAAAAAAGCAATTTTTTTTCCACGGACTTGGGTTTTTCATTTATTTATTTATTTATTATAATGTAAAATAAAAAACAACCCAAGGTGCAGTTTTTGCAGAGTCCAAAATATTGAAATTTGTAGACTAGTTCAACCTTATTCAAATTAAATATTATGTAATTAATAATATTAAATGGGGAAAATTTGAAGTAAGTTCAAAGTAAAACTTTAGCAATTGTTGTCTCTTTGTTACTTGGAGTAACAATTCTTGGGACCCCACCTATTTTTATTTTTATTTTCGTTGATATGCGATTTTATTTAATTTTTTTAATATCCCATCAATATCAAGAGAGATTCTAATATTTTCAAACCACGACTTATAAAAAAAATTTGTCTCCTCAATTTTGCCTGCTCTTTGACATTTTTGCAGCTTTTGAAACTTCTTGTTTTTCCTCTTTTTTTTTTTAATTTATTTTGACTAATATAATCTCTAATTTTTCACTAATTTATTCTTTCCTAAATCCATTTTCATGGAACTAATTAATTTATAAAAGGGTTACAGTTGCAACAAAAAATATGCATGAATTTAACAAAAAAAAATATATGCAGGAGGAATATATATATGTATAAATGCATGAATTCCCAAATTACTGGTGTTTTTTTTCTCAAATCTCAAGTCATAAGTCCACATTGGTCTTCATATTGAACAAATAATAAATTTAATAAATAAATAAATAAATAAAAGAAATAAAATGCATGTTTGCAGCTGCCTCTAGCTACGTCGGGAATCACGGGGTTTGTTCTTAAGCTGGAATTGGGACCTACCCAAAATTAATAAAATTATTTTGTGGGTGAGATTATTAATTGTAAAATTTGTACCACTTTATTTCATTCAACGGGGTGCAAATTAAAAAAAAAATATATATATATATATATATTAATAATAATTACTAATATGTATCTACTTTAAAGAAATGGATATATATGAAGAGGAAGTGGATCTTTATCTCACGGGTTTCTTGAGTACCCCTATTGCAGGCAACTCAACTACTGGTTCTATTTCATTAATCATAATTATTAATACAAATGTATACATACATATATAGATGTATCTATATAAAAATTCTTATACTATATAGTATTATATTAATGAATTCAGAAAGGAAGTGACCCTTGTCTGAAAACAAATAATTGAAAAGGGTAAATTATCGCAAGTAAGTGTATGCATATATGTCCAAATTGTGAAGTCAACTCTCGGATCCAAACAGGACTCTTGTGTGTGTGTGTGTGTGTGTGTGTGTGTGTGTGTGTGTTGTGCATTGATTTTGGTGACTTATTAGGAATATGAATATGTGTGTGTGTCTCCCCTATTAATCCGGATCTAGCATCATTTCAGAATTAGTATGTCTGTCGTCTTATGATTCCCCCCCATCATTTTTTTATTCTTTTTTTATTACTTAATGCATATATGTATATGTATATGTATATCATCATTTCCCAATTCGATTCCAAATTCCAACAACATGCATTATTATTAATAATAATGCATGCCCATGATTTACTAATGCATGGATATATCATGCATGCTGCATATACATATACTGTATACATACGCTGTATATATATTCAACGAGCTAGCTAGCGCTTCAAAACTGCTCCAGCGCTTATTGGTATGCATATATATGTATATATTCCACCATCTTACGTCGACATTTTATTTTATATATTATATATATGTAAATAATAAAAAATTAAAAGAAGGAATAATTGTACGCAGATTTGAATTTGGTGACATATATATAGTGACATGTATGTGTGTGGAATATATTAGCTAGACCCCACATGCATGTATATGCCATTAATTTATTAATTTCGTGTTAACCTACCAAATTATGAAATCGCAAGATGGAGTATATTATGATTTTCATTTCATTTTTTTTTTAACAATTGTTTATTTCGTAGCCTTTTAGTGTATAATAAACATAGATAACCAAAAAAATTGCTAGGGTAAAAACGAATTGGCATGATAATGACCGTTAATTATTAGCTTCATTTAAATATTATAATATTTTAGTAACAATGTATAGTTATTGAAAAATACAAGAGTTATTATTATATTATATTATATATATAAAAAACACCAAAAATATGATTATTGGGAATGAATAATTGTAGATATACATAACTATGGGCAGTCAACGTGCATGGCCATGAATTCACACTCTCGTACAATGATATCTCAACCTCTTTCTTTTTTTTATATATATATATATATATTTTTGCAATTTAATAATTATATTTGATTTCTTCAACGTTTTTCACCTCAAACTTTTCCTTATTTTGTATTTATCATATGTGACATTTTATTTATTTATTAATATTGTCTTTGTTTACAAAATTTGATGCATTTTCCCTCCGAGTCGACTCACTAGCTAAGGTAAGCTAGCAGTCAAAACTTGGGAAACCCTATCTTCTAGAGATAATAAAAACTGGTCTCTTTGCCCAATTTATCTGTGCACGAGACAATATTAATATTAATATATAATTAATTACTTGCCCACATATATATAAGTTAAATCAAGAATTAATATATTTAATTTTGTCTTTTTTCACTGTGGGCCGCATAATTTGCTGATTTCTGCTCAGTTTATTTTATTGGTCGCCTATTTAATTAGTTGTTTCTTTATTTTCCCAATCTATCGATTCTATATATATTGCTGTGAACAAAAATAGGTCTCAACTTTAACTAATTAATTTTATGTGTTACGTTGCTAATTTTGTGATTATGTCTTTAATTAATTATAATTAAAGACATTTTGGCGTACATTTGGCTGACTCTTTTAAAGAAAATTGATTTCAAGTGTCTTTATCGATCTGGTATCAGAATAATAGTACTACTTGATTAGTGTTGTGGATAATACGTACAATTACATAACGTCAAAGCTATGCATTAGTCGTAGAACCCTAACGGAATAACTTATCAAATATATTTTTCAATTAGGGTTTTTAACAATGTTTCAGGGGTAATTGTAATTAATTATCGATACTTCAAGAACTTTAAAGTTATTTTAGCATACCTCAGGAGTGTAGTGGTAATTTTCCCACAAAACATTAGATTATTTTTTTTGCATTATATGCTTAAAATAATCAATTTACTGTACGGAAAGAGATAATATGCTCACATAATTGTATTATTTCATCTTAGCTTCAGAATTTGGACCACCTTAAAATATATGTCAAATGGACCCGAGAGGGATCCATTTGTACAGTTTTCTTGCTGTTATGGGCCCATTGCAATTTAATTTAATTGTAATAGTTTATCATTCATATGTCTCTTTCCAAAGACTCGCCTAATTAACTTACAAATATGCTAATCTTGTCATAATAAAAAAAATAAAGAAATAAATAAAATCAACTTGCACTAATGACAATTTCCAAATTGTTTTACTTATAGAACCCTGATTTCTCACTTTCACATTGACAATTATTTATTGTGTGAATTAACATAAGCTAACAAGCATGAAAATATGTATATTAGTATTATATATGTATACAGGGGCAGACTCAGGATAATTTTTTGGGGGCGAGAGTTCAAGAAAAAATAAATTGGGGGGCGAATATACTATATATAAAAATACATAAAAGAAAATCAATAAAAAAATAGGTAGATAAATAAATTAAAAGCTACTCGAGCTCGTCTCGGTTACAGCTCGTTCGATTTCAATCAATTTTATCATTTTAGGATTATTTTGGATCATATAATTGCATTAATTATAACATGCTTACTAGAGTCAACTAAATTTCCTAGTCTGGACTTGGTCTTAATCGAACCTAGGCCTGATTAACTAAAGAGTCTATAAACCAAAAGGTCAAAAACTCTTCTTCACCAACTCACCATTTAATATTTAATCTTCATAAAATAGTCAACAAAGAGAAGGAAAATTAGAAGGTCAAACAAAATTAATTAGTAAATCAATTGTGAATATTAAAAACATATATGTATTATAATATAAGATGTAATAAATCCTAGAGAGGACGAAGTTGTCCAACATTATTTATGTTTGATCAAACTTGGTCTATAATTGCATGTGAATTAAAATACTAACCATCTTTGAAGAAAAAGTCATAAACACTATTTATTAGGTAAATATATTTAATTAATTAAATAAATAAATATTATTTTATATTTGATTATAATGACAATTTTTTTTCATTAATTTGGGCCGCCAATTTATAAGCCTAATTGGAAGACAAGAAATTTATCCGAAAAGGGTTATAAAGAAACCTTGTTGGGCTAGCCCAATAAGCTTCGCACAGTCCAGCACACGTGCGAAATTTTTGAAAAAAGCAGATATTAGGGTTTCCGAATAGGGCAGCTCGGGCAGCCTGAAGCGCTTGCCCGTTATTTTTTATTCAGTATTAAGCTACCCCTCAAACTCCTCCCTCCCGCTTCTTCTCTCTCATTCGAAATCCATTTCTCTCTCTCTCTCTATCTGTTCTCTCACTTGCATATTTCCACACACACCAAATTTCAGCATACGAAATTCTGTATTTATTTATAGATAAGGTGTAAGTATATACGAAGGAAGTAGTCGATTTTTGGGCTTACCTGAACTAGCGTTGGAAGATAGAGAGAGAAAGGAGAAGGAGAAAACCCTAGTTGCTTCTTCTGGAATCGAAGTTCGCTTAGGCTTTCTCTCTGATTGAGGTAAATTTTTCTGTGTATCGTGTTTATTAACTGTAGATCTACTAGTATTTTAATTGATTTCGTTAGCTGTTGGTCTAGATATCGTGCTTTTGATTTCGGAATTGATTTGTTCAATTGCTGCTGTTTAATTTTGATTGGTACAGTGTGTCAAATGATGTTTGAAGTTGTTTGGCGAAATCTATTTTTCTGTAGATATGCGTCAATGATGTTTGGATTTGTTTATTGAAATTTGTTTCTGTAGTTATGCTTATGGATGCTTCAAATTTGAAGCCCAGGGTTTAAGCTATACTCATGGTTAAGAACTTTAGTGTTTATGTTTCGGAAATCTCTTATTAACTTTTGCTGATGTTGAGAAGAGGTGGTTATCTGTTGATCGATGCAATTTCGTTTTTTATGTGTGGTTTTATTGATTTGTGAGTGTTCTTTGAATGTAACCAATTAAAGGATTGGGGTTTATTTCATATTTTGTCTTGGAGTTCATCAGTTTATTGGAATGATTTTTCTCTGATTAACATTTTACACACACTGTTTTTGACATTTTCTTCAGCAGATTATTCAGGGTTTTATATTCTCGATTGTGCACCTTGGTATTAATTTTGCATGTGGTAATAATTGTGTAGAGTCTGATTTCCTTAATGACTCTTTTGTACAGGAGAAATGGCATTGGAGATTACCCAGTATCTGTTATCCGCTCAATCACCAGATGCGAAAGTTCGAAATGATGCAGAGACTGCTCTTGGTCAGTTCCAGAACCAAAACTTACCGGGATTTCTGCTATCATTATCTTTTGAACTCTCAAATGACGGCAAACCTACCGAGTCCCGTACGCTTGCTGGTCTTATTCTTAAGAACACTCTGGATGCCAAAGAAGCTGCACGAAAAGACGTGCTTGTCCAACAATGGATTGCAATTGACGTGACTTTTAAGTCCCAGGTTAAGAATTCTCTTTTGAACACCCTTGGGTCTTCTATTCGGGAAGCGAGCCATACTGCTTCCCAGGTCGTTGCCAAGATAGCTTCTATTGAAGTTCCAAGAAAAGAATGGCCAGAACTTGTCGGCTTATTGCTTGCCAATATGACTAAGCCAGATAGCCCTGCATCACTGAAACAGGCTACCCTGGAATCACTTGGTTATGTATGCGAAGAGATTTCTCACGAGGATCTTGTGCAAGATGAAGTGAATGCTGTTCTCACAGCTGTTGTTCAAGGAATGAATGCGGCTGAGCAAAACTCTGAAGTCCGGCTTGCTGCAACTAGGGCTTTATATAATGCCCTAGATTTTGCACGGACCAACTTTGAAAATGAGATGGAGAGGAACTATATAATGAAGGTGACATGTGATGCTGCCCTGGCGAAAGAGACAGAGATCAGGCAGGCTGCATTTGAGTGTCTTGTTTCGATTGCATCGACATACTATGAGATACTTGAACCTTATATGCAGAGGATCTTTGAGCTTACATCTAGTGCAGTCAAGGGAGATGAGGAAACTGTTGCCCTTCAAGCTATGGAGTTTTGGAGTTCTATCTGTGACGAAGAATTGGAAATTCAAGACTATGAGGTTCCAGAGAACGGCGATTCGAGCGCTCCACACTCTCACTTCATTCAGAAAGCTCTTCCTACACTAGTGCCTATGCTGATAGAAACTCTACTCAAACAGGATGAAGACCAGGACCAGGAGGATGGAATTTGGAACCTGGCTATGGCTGGTGGCACATGTCTTTGTCTTGTTGCTAGGACAGTTGGGGATGCTGTTGTCCCTCTTGTAATGCCTTTTGTGGAAGCCAACATATGTAAGCCTGACTGGCGATCTCGTGAGGCAGCCACGTATGCATTTGGTTCAATCCTCGAGGGTCCAAGCATTGAGAAGCTATCACCCATGGTAAATGCTGGCTTAGAATTTCTTCTCAACGCAATGAAAGATGAAAATACCCATGTGAAAGACACGACAGCATGGACCCTTAGTCGCATATTTGAGATAATGCACTCGCCGGCTACTGGATTTTCTGTTATTACACCAGCTAACCTCGAACGGATTTTGGGTGTCTTGCTGGAGAGTTTAAAAGACACACCACATGTGGCTGATAAGGTTTGTGGAGCTCTCTATCTTCTTGCTCAGGGATATGAGGATTCTGGACCGATTTCATCGCTGCTTACACCTTACCTTCCAAATATATTGAGCAGTTTGATCGCCACAGCTGAACGTACAGATGGCAATGACTCTAAACTCAAAACCAATTCATACGAAACCATGAACGAGTTTATTAGGAGTTCGAATCTTTCAGAGACTTCTCAGATAATTGCCAAACTGCTCCCTGCTATCATGTCCAAGTTGGAACAGACTTTCAGTATTCATATCTCTTCATCCGAAGACAGGGAAAAACAAGGGGATTTGCAAGCCTCTCTCTGTGGTGTGATTCAAGTCATCATTCAAAAACTGAGCAGTGTCGACGAAACCAAGCCCATAATACTGCAGGCGGCTGACCAGATTATGCTGCTTTTCCTCAACGTGTTTGCTTGCCGTAGCTCTACTGTTCACCAAGAGGCTATGCTTGCTATTGGTGCACTAGCCTACGCCACTGGGCCTGACTTTGCTAAGTACATGCAAGAATTCTACAAATATTTAGAAATGGGTTTGCAGAACTTTGAGGAATACGAAGTTTGCGCTATATCAGTCGGAGTTGTCGGTGATATTTGCCGTGCATTGGACGACAAAATCTTGCCGTATTGCGATAGGATCATGGCACTTCTCCTCAAGGATTTATCAAGCGGTGAACTGCATCGGTCGGTCAAACCTCCAATGTTCTCCTGCTTTGGAGACATTGCTCTTGCAATCGGGGAGCACTTTGAAAATTACATTAGTTACGCTTTGCCGATGCTGCAAAGCGCATCGGAAGTGTGTGCTCAGATGGACAATGCCGACGAGGAGATGATGGACTATGGCAACCTGCTCAGGCGAAGTATTTTCGAGGCCTACTCTGGAATTCTTCAAGGGTTCAAGGCTGCCAAGACTGAATTGATGTTACCCCACGCCCCTCATCTCATGCAATTCATTGGATTGGTTGCTAAAGACACGAACAGGTATCTATTTCGAAACAATTTTTTTTTCGTACTTCCAATTTTTTTGTTCTCATATTTTAAACAGAAGAAATTGTGGTATTGTTCTTCTCTGTTCAGGGATGAGAGTGTAACGAAGGCGATGGTGGCAGTTTTGGGTGACGTGGCAGATGCTCTCAGTGCAAACATTAAGGTGATATTCAAAGATTGTGCATTTTGCAACGAGTTGTTAGGTGAGTGCCTTCAATCGGATGACCAGCAGCTGAAGGAAACTGCTGCATGGACACAGGGGATGATTGGGCAAGCATTTTCTATTTGTGGCTGAGCATTCTCTCTCTCTCTCTCTCTCTGTTCATGGTTTTTGTCCTTGTTACTTTTTGTTTTGGTAAAGTCAGTAGTAGCAGTCTTTAAGGTTCCTATAAAGATCTTGGTTCGTTGACTCATCGTATGCACAAGTCCTGTGTTATGCAGATTTAATAGACAGAAATTATGAAAATACTTTTCATTGATCTGCTAATTATGACAAGTTTTGCTTCTCGTGTATGCGTTCGGTTGGTCACCATGTTTCAGTGGCCTGTTTTTGTTCGTATTTTTTCATAAAAGGGTTATTTTGGTCTATATTATATTCGAAGCTATTGATTCGTATTTCCTACTCTGTTTCCCTAACTTCGTATATTTCACTTCCCTAACTAGCATTTATTGTGATGTTTTGCTATGTCAAAAAATTATGTATTACAAAGAAAATATTCAATTCCTTTTCCTCAAAAAAAAAAAAGAATTATTTTATTTGCTACGAAGAAGAAGACGATGAAATGATATGGGCGTAGAGCAACTCGTTCCAGGTATCAGGCACACCAGGTAGGCACCAGTGCAGACAATCTGCATATGTAGCTGGATCAGCTTTCTGTTCTGGTGTCAAAAGTTTGCCTTGTCGAATTGTGTAAACCGATGTATGACCGTCTTTTCTGTACTCAGACAGGGTGGTGATATCTACCAATCCCACAGCGACACCTGTTGTTTTTATCACATTCTTTGTAATTTTAAGGAGCCGTCGATCAGTTCCCATATCCAACGGTGTTGATGTGTTCGAGATTGGATCAGTTTCACTGGCACATGCGGCTCCCTCAGGCTTGTTCCAGTTCGAACTCCTATATTTATATATATTGTTTCGTCATGGATTATTATTTACTTATTATTATAACTTGCGAGTTTGAGAAAAGTAAGGGAAATAATATTAGCGTACTGCTGATGAACTGGAGACATGGTGATGAAGAAGGCTGATGTACGGCTGTGATTGATGTTGTGCTTTAGCCAATTTGCCCATGTTGTCAAAACTCTTTCGTATGCAATGGGGCGTTCGATTTCATCGTATTCGGGTGATCCTGACCGTCTGATCACATTGAATTCAGACCCATTGGTATACAAAGATGCAATAATAGTAAATGCAAAAGACTTACAAGACTTTAATGTTGCGACCGTTCATCCACCATATGTAGGAGTTGAAGACGAGGAAATCGGCGTCCTTCCAATGGATTCCGTGCTTTGAAATCGAGTGGGGGTTTATTATTCGCTGGGAAATGCTGTGGTTTCTTGGATCATCTGAGTTGGACTCTACCAGAAATGGTGCCCAGTAGAACTCTACTGTTGCATTGTATTCCTGCACATATTTATATTGGATGAGCTAATTAATTAGTTAGTTGGTAAAAATTTGAATTTGATGAAATAAACTGGTAAAGATTTAAAATGACTATAAAATAAAATTGAAGTTTTTTGTTGAGATTTAAAATTGAATTAAAATCTCCCCAGAATCATCTGAAAGTAAAAAAAAAATAATAATAAATAGAAAAGAAATAAAAAAATCTTGTAACTTGTGATTTATTTTTTTGAACACGATCTAAGCTTGATTTCAAATTTATTGATTAATTTAAAATTAGCACTTGGAGGACAAAATTGGATGGAGCATTAAATGTTGCACAGGCCACGATACCATAGTCCCAGTATTATATTAAGGGTAAATTACGGTAACCCTAGAGCTACGGTCAAATTATGTAAAACCTTCACTCTTGTTCGGGTAATTAAAGCCGTACTCCTCAACTATATATTATCTTACGAAATTACTCATTCAGACGTAAATTCAGGGATGTTAAATCGGTAAAAAACTGAATCGAAAATTCGATACACCAACATTTTATACCTTTTACTGAATTGAATACACGATTTGGTTCGGTAAATACGAATTACACAAGTTTTATGAAAACATATTTAAAATAAGTGGTGGCTGTAATCACCCAAATAAAATGAGTTTTTTTTCGTAATTTAACCGTACAACATGGACGTCCGTAATTTGCCGTTATATTAATAATAAAAAATCAGGCACCGACACCTAATTTTGAGAGCCACAAATTAAAATGAACATTTTTAATTTTCGAAAGAAAAAAGAAGGAAAATGCAAGAAATAGAGAACCTGAACAAAGTAAACGGAGAGTGGGGCCCCCATCTTCCAAGTAGCCTTGCCGGGTTGAACCGTGGTCTGGAGCAAGCAAATCAACGACTCCCATTGATTCCGGTTCACCGAGTCACCGACAAACAACATCTTCTTCCCCCTCAACTTCTCCAATAACTTTCTTGCTTCAAACCTAAATTAACATTCATCGATCATTATTACTAAGTTATGAAACAGACAGACGGAGAAAACAATGATGAGTACTGTAGTAATAATAATTGAAATGCTTACGTGGGCAAAGAGCAGTGATTTGGCTGCCATCTCCAGTTCTGGTAAAGTGTGTCTTCTCTGCCATTTCTGATACATGTCACCTGAGCTGTGAGGAAAGTACATTCTTGTTCTTTGTATAAAGGCCGGGTGACGTTATCAAATACCCATTTTCCTTGTGACAAATCACAGGCCGCCAATTCATTCTTTGGATGTTGACTTTGACTTTCAAGAATGGTGGTACTTTGGTTTTCTTGATCAGTTTGGAGCTGGAGAAGAGGAGGCCATCTGATCAAATTGATTTTGGTGATCAAAGTTATATCTTTCAACACTAAAACACCAAAAATAGAGATTGCAATTAGTGTGATGGTCAACGGTGTACATTTTCTGTTTTTGTTATTTTCTTTCTTGTGCTTCATCGAGGAGGAGCTAGGAGATTATAAATTTTTTTTTTTTTTAATTCAAAAAGAATTGGAGAAGATATGTGAAACTTAGCTTATTGAATTATAATGTGTGGGTGGGGTGGGGTGGGGTGGGGTGAGTGATTACTTAATTACAAGATCTAAAATCAATTTAAGAATTTAAGAAAAGATGTACTTAGTTAAGGATAGGGTGCAGTTGGGTCCAAATGGGCTATATCAAAATAAACTTTGATCCATATACCCAATACTCAGTTTGGGCCCACAATCAACATTTCATCCTATGCAAAATGTCAATAATACCCCTAAGTTCTTTTGAATAATTTACAAATTTGTACATATTTTCTCTCCATTGGAGGTAGAGGTTCAGTTGTAAGATTTTTAGTACTGAACCTTTAGTCAAACATGCCAGAAATATTAACCAAAACATGAATTGTTTTTTTTTTTTTTTTTTTTTTTTTGTTAAGTTTACAAATTATTTATTATAACCAAACTAAAATTTTTTTATTCATTAATATAATTATTATGATTATCGATACAGAGAAAATGATATGAATTATGATCACGTGCATTTTTCTAATCGTACAATCCATGGGCAACATGTGCGCATTTTTATAACATTTTCGGGTTGGAGTTGCATAAAGTATATACATCGACCGGATACTAATATTGAAAGGGGCAATTTGTCAATGCACCCTCTTCTAATCCGTTTCATTTTAAAAAGAAATTAAAAAAAATTCAAAATTCTGAAATTATAGTTCAACTTTTCCAACAACAAACTCTCACAATTGAAATACCATTCCACTCAATAACCATTTCATTCTTCTTCCCACTTTCAATTCTCACTCCATATAAACTAACTCCTTCCTTCACAACTTCTTTAGCTTCATCAACACTTGCTTCACTCAATTCCAATCCATCTAACCCTAATCCAAATTCAATCTCACCACATTGCCTTATCTCCTCCCATTTTCGATCCCGCACGATCGAAGAAACCGAGGGCCCCACAAACAGACACTCTAAGGCCCTTCTTGCTTCTCCAAGATGCTTCGGAAAATCGAACTCCATCGACTCCAATAAAGCTTGATAATGCGCGATATTTGCATCCAAGAATGTACTATAACTCATTAGCGTAGTAGTTTTGTCGTAAAACACATCTCCATTGCCGTACGTTATGATGCCCTTACTAGTAGTACTTCCCCAACACGTGACTTGATGTAAGAAATTTTCGGCCACTCTTAGAAACTTGAAAACGTGTTTTTTTGACCTAACCCTCCCCATATGTGGGAGCGCCACGTGGCAGTTGAATACGTACAAAGATTTTCTCCCATAATCTCCTTTCTCGATGTTATTCGTGAAAATTTCTAAATCTTGAAATCTCACTTCTTCTACTATCGCGTTTAGGCCGTACGACCATGCATGATCGTGTAGCCTCCTCTTTGTATCCTCAAATCGAAAAGGGCTACTTTCGTCTTTTTCATCGAATTTTATTGATGTTACTCTTACTTCTGTACATCGATGTTTGATGGCTTCTATGAATGATGCCCATTGTACCCCTTCTCCAATGTCGAAATCGATTAAGTGAATGATTTCGGCGTCACTAGGCAAGGATTCCATGATAGCCGAATTGGCTACAAAATGAGCGAATTTCCCATATGGGAATATTTGGTAGAACGCTTTGAAGGCCGGATAAAAATTCTTGAATGACTCTTCTTTAAGGTAGTTATAATTTGATTTCTTGTTATGGTGTTGGAACATATACAAGACGCGTTCCGTGGGCCCACCAAAGGGGTTCACTTTCTTGATTATGCTTCGACCGATTACTTCAGATAGGCCGGTAATTTCTTGATTACGATCCATTACTTCGGCATAGGCTACGATGAGATTGAGTAGAGAGAGGTGGTTGTCGACTTCCATGCCTTGAAACGGAAGAATTAGTGATGTATGCATGTTCATGCATGTTTCGCTTACCATGCCATGTGCATCGTGATCGATGAACATGCGGTCGAATTCATCTAGATCGAACGGAAAATCGTGTATTGGAGAATTGGCATGTGGCTCGTTGATTTGGAGAGGGAAGTGCTCTGTTGTTAAGTGAAACGAAGGACAAAATGAGCATTCGTCTATGGAAAATGGATTGACATTTTCGAAACGTGGTGTTGGGGGTCGGTAAATTTCGTAAAGGCTCATTTTTCAGACAAAGTGTGAAAATTCGCAAGTTTCGATTTTCGAGGATCGAGTTTTGATGAGGCATTCATGTGTTGGGGACTATATATATATAGACATGAAAAGGAGGCTGTTATAAATAATTAGCCAGCTAAGGCCTAATAGAGGCATCTATCTAACTTCTTGGCAGTTTGTCGAGAAATGTCGATTATTTAGGAATTTGGGTAAGTATTTGAAGATTATTTGTCGATTATTTCAAATAGTTAATTATCGCACATTTAGTCATATGATTCAATTATTCCAAAAAAAAAATGGCGAAACCTCAGTAATTTCGTGTACCCTGTTTGAACATTGAAGTCGTAATTTCTCGTTACGAATATACGAAAAACAACATTCCCTATAAGACATAATAGTTCACTTTCAACCTCAATTTCATGAAAATGTTTTTTTAATTTTTGTTTAATTTTTTTTAATTTTTAAAATAATTAATTAGGTGAAGAAGAAGTCAGATAATAATACAGTGGACTTGATTCCATAAGGTGAGGAGATACTAATTTCTGGACTTTCAAGAAAGGAATCCAATATCCAACCATAACAACAGTCATTTAAACAATTTAAATAACAAACAAAAAATTGTTTTTTTCCGTAGAAATTGGATTAAAATACGATATATATTTCCCAATCCAAAGTAACATCTCATATATTTAATTGTTCCCACAAATTCATGCAAGCAAGTATATATACGGTTTGGATTGTACGTAAACCTCGTAAAAAAATGTTATCAGTTAAACTCATCATCTGCTTGAATTTCATTTTGGTTGCGACTTGCCAAATGACTAAAACGCCCCCGTGACGTGTAACAGAACAACATGAAAGACAGTTGAATGCATTATGAATTATGATATCATGATTTAATATTGTTATTACATACTTATTTGTTTTACCTTAAAAACAACTATTTGGTATGACGACAACATGTCGAAAGGAATCAAGACTTAATCAGAAGTATGCGTCGCTTTCCGAAATAAGAGTTTATTATATCATTCACATAATAACAAGCAGATACTGATAAAATGCCGGCCTTACATTCCCCGGATTACGTATCGATTAATCAAAGTTTTTTATAACTTACCGGGATTAAAATAATTCTCTCGGAATTCTTGTCCGTACGTGTTCCTAACTATTAAGGTTGTTCGTTCACCATGATGACGACATATGATGGACACAAATGGACCGCTAATTTCAAGCCATCGATTAATTTTTATTAATACGAAAGTTACCTTGAAAGATATAGATAATAATTATTTAATTATTCGGCATTTAACGAACAAGAAGACGTCAAAAAGGAGAGAAGACTTCTCCGAGAACTTTACGAAGATTAATTTTTTTGTATAATATATGACCAATAGAGTAGTCCTTCCTTCTTTCGTCTCGAATTTATATTATTTTGTGTCAACATCTATTGTATGCATTGGCCAACTTTATATATATCTATATATATTTATATACATATAGTTGATTACTTACAGCTCAATAGTCTCTTCTTGCCTGCAGAAAAATCACCAAGAAGATGATGCAACCAGAGCTACTTCTGCCCTCGTGGCCAATCTTCGATTTTTGCGAGATTGATGGCTTTGATTTCTCTTCTTCATTCGCCTCCCCGGAAGAATATTCCTCCGAAATTTCCTCAAAGTCAAATCTCCGAAACACGTTCCAAGATGAGTTTTTTGATCTAGAAAATTTGGGTGATGAAATCCACATATGCTCGGCTATGGAAGAAATCTGTGAATGGATAAACGGAGACGAAACAGAAGGGAACTCTTCGTCTCCGATAACGATTGAAGAAGATGAATGGAGTCCTTCTCTTTGTCAAGAATCGAGCCGTGATTCGACACTGCTTCCTATTCATATTACAGACATGTCGTTGGTATTTCCGGGTGATGACGTGACAGTGGACGATCATTTGAGCCTACTTCATCTGTTGAGGGCTTACGGAGAAGCTGTAGAGAATGGGGAGAAGAAACTATCCGAGGTGATTGTAAAATCGATAAACAACAAAAGTAGTCCACAGGGGAACACCGTGGAACGCGTTGCGTACAATCTATTCCAGTCCGGAGAAAGCCGAGGAGAGTTCTTGAGAGAGGAGTCGATCAAGAATATCGAAGTGGCGTTCAATGTGTTGTACCAAAGCCTCCCTAATGGGAGATTTGCTCATTTTGCAGCTAATTCGGCTATTCTTGAATCTATTCCGAAAGATGCAGTGGCGATACAAATAGTGGATTTCGATATGGGAGAAGGGATTCAATGGCCTCCATTGATCGAGGCTTTGAGTAAGGGGAAAGTGAAGTTGATGAAAATTACGTCGGTAAAATTAGAAGAGGAATCCGAATCCACCTCTTCTTGTTGGAGCTTCGAGGGTACGAAGAAACGGCTTTTAGCTCACGCACGGCAGTTTGGTGTGGCGTTGCAAATTGAAGAACGAAGAATCGAGGATTTTGCTAGTGAAATGATGGTCAAAAGTGGAGAGTGGGTGGTGTACAATTGCACGGTGGGGCTTCCACACATGGTAAGGAGAAGGTCAAGAAGAAGTGTTAATGAATTTCTTAAGGTAGCTAAAGAAATGTTAGCTAATTATGGAGGAATATTGAATATTGGAGATGGAGAAGAAGTAGGGGAGAGTTTGAACAATTTTGCTTCGTATTTTGCGAATTTTGTGAGGCATTACCAAGCCGTGTTTGAATCGTTGGAGGGGAATTGTCCGGTGTATCTCGCAGAAGCAAGAACGGCTATGGAAAGGCTCTTTCTAGCACCGTTTATGTGCCCTTTGGCTTGGTTTCAAGATTGGGAGGAGATGAGAAAAAGTGGTGTTTTTCGAGAAGAATCTTCTTGGCTTGAAGGGCGAAAGATTAGCCAAGAAAACTTGGCTGAAGCTAAGGTGATGGTGAATGAAAGAGAGAGTTCGTATTCGGTCAGAATCGAGAAGCTGAGAGAAAATGAGATGGTGTTGCAATGGAAGGGCACGCCACTTGTACGAGTTTCCACTTGGATATGAACACACCGGAAACCGACTGTGGTGGCGGGTGGGTGGGCGGGCGGGGCAGCCTTGTAAAGATTCATGTTTCTGTAGAAATATTTATGTTTTATGTACAAATTTTAGCATGTAGATTAAAACAAGTTGGCAGATTTCACATAATATATAAAATAATGCAGATTATATACCATGAACTCAATCTACCTTCAACCTGTTCCCGAAAAAAACAAATGTACTCGCCAACTAGAGATACTTATCCGGCGTTGCAAGATTACGTATATAAGCAGCACATGAAGACTAATGCATATAAGATTTGACATCAATAAGACGAAAAAGTAAACACTAACAATATCGACTATTGGAGCAGGATTAAACATTTCTACCATATCATGAACAAGTGTGTAACAGAAGGAAAACCAAACAATGGTGGTCCCAAGCAAAGCTTCAGCAGAGGGTGCTAACAATTTATAAGCACAAATTCACAGTACAACACTCAGTTGTTGAATGAACTAAAATCATTAAGTGTTAAGTCAATTCCACGAATAAAAAACGAGAGCCCATCAAACCCTATTCGTAGTACACGGAAACTTGAGGAATATCGACATCATTGTCTTCATCATCCTCGCAAGCAATAACCACGTCAAAATGACTCCTGTAAGGAGGCAGCTCAAACTTAGCAACGTCCTTCACCAAATCGACCATCTTCTTATCCATTCGCTCCTTGTGCTTCGGAAACATGCTATTGAACAACAAGCAGCTTCCAAACGATATGCTGTAAGCATTCAAGCCTTTGTTTTTGAGCCACTGAAGCAGCTCTCTAAGAGTAGGGCTTCCCTTGAGAACCCAACGGTCCCACACAGACCAGCTCATGTCCTGATATTTGATGACCTTTGTTGGAACGGGCTCGGCCATTGAGAAGAGAGGAAGGGCAAGATTGGCAAAAGTGTTTCTGTAGTCTTCGATTTTGTGGCTGCCGTCAATCACCTTGTACAGCTCGAGGCAGACGAGTCCTGTTGCCATAGCTGTGGAGGTTGCGATTGCTGGGATTATTTTACCTGCAATAAGCTTGGCTTTGAGCTTATCAACTTCTGGGATACTGTAGTTTCTTGCCCTCATATTGGCAAGTCCGGTAACCAGTTCCATGTGGTAGTTTGTGTCATCGTCCTGCACATAAAGCAAGAAAGCAAAAAGATAAATTTAACTATGTTACGAACTTGGATCCAAGACAGGTCTTTGTTAAATCTACATAAAAAGATGAATTTAAGCATGGATACAAGTAGCTGAATTAGTGTCCAACACTGGTAACTGGATATAATATTACAAACTAGTAGATTCTTCAAAAGGTTAAATAGATGCAAAAAAAAAAAAATTACAGTTAAATACATGCGGGGACTACCCTCACTTTATAAAAAAAAAAAGAAAAAAAAAAGAAAAAAAGAGCCAAGTATTAAACTAGTTAGTGACTTAGCAATATCCTGGCGAATTTGAAATGTCAGTCAAATCTGACCTCACCACCACTATGAATAACGTATTTCTCATGATGGACAAAAAAAGATAGTTAACACTTCAACATATTGAAATTTATTCAGAGTGGAAAAAAAAAACGGACCTTTTCAAACTGAATGGGATTCATCTTGTAACCAGGAGCTAACTTTTCCCTGCACGTCTCTAACTTCATGACCAACTCATTTATAACATCGGCATCATCCATGGATGCAGTAGCAAGACTAGTCGCTGCCTCATCCGTCACAATTCTGACGTTATTCTTTGGCAGGAAATCTGGGACCATCACTTTGTCGACAGCCTCAGCGAATTTCTCCAGAGACTTCGCCCAGTTTGGAATGGGGATTCCAAAAGCTTCTGCACGTAATATAGCTCCAGCCATGGCGAAGTTAATATGGCTCAAATCTTGGTTGGAGAACTCGAGTGGGCGTGGGAAACGTTTTGGGGCAGACCAAAATCGAGCCCCATTATTAGTGGCGGCATCCTCAGGAAATGTGTAAGTCAACTGTTTTACCCTGTTGGAAAAATAGTCCTCGAACCTGATTTCACCAAGAGAAAAAGACCATAGAATTAGTGGAAGGAAATTTGATAGAAAATATTGACAATAGAATAAAAGGTGGTTATTACTTTAAGCGAGCCCAAGTGATGCAATCCTGGAATGTGTCACATTTGTCACTGTCGAGGCATTCAAGAACCCGTTCCAAAGTGTCTCGGGCCTGTGCATCACCGGCTTGTTTCATAGCAGATATATATTCACTTGGTTTTTTGAGATACACATTAACCTCTGTTGGTGTCTTCTCAAGCAAGCCTTCAAATTCTGACCGAGCCCAAGTTAAGCAATGGTGTATGTTATGTGGAAATGAATGCAGTGTGCACATAGGAGCTTGTTTTTCGGGTGGGTCCCTCGATGCACCATAATTTTCAGTTAGGTGAGGGATTACCATCTGTGTATTGCACTTTGCACCCAAGGTACCAGATTCTAGGAGTGCTCTTTGGAAGTATAAACACCTTTGATCGATGTAAAGCCTTGCGTTAACATTGTCCAGAGCATTGATGACAACACTAAGATTCTCCCAAAATGTGTCATCAAAAACACTCTCACTCTCGGGGCTTGCACGGTTTTGCAAAGCTTCAATATTAAGACGACGGTTGATAAAAGAGGCAGCTGTTGCAGCAACGGTTGACTTCGCCTGACCTATGTTCCAATCACGGAACAGAAACTGTCTACTAAGATTACTCTTTTCAATGACATCATCGTCTGTAATAGTCAGCTTTCCCCCATCACCACAACTAACTCCCATCAAAGCTACATTTTTCAGGAATTCACACCCCAATGCACCAGAACCGACCATGAAAACTTTGGCATCCTCAAGTTTCTTTTGCAACTTCGATCCAAACACTGAAATTTGAGCATCATAACGAGAATTCAAGGGCCTCAAGTCATTGGGATCCACGGATTCAGTCGGAAGAGATTCAACAGAGTCAAAATAGAAGAACTGTTAAACAGAAAAAAAATAATGAATCAATAATTAAATATTCAACGAATGCTGGATTTTAATTCATGAAAAAATGACAGAGCTATAATGCAGAAATTTAACTATAATAACCTGAAAAAGCGGGTGGAATTTCCCTGAGCAAGCCTTCACAACTTCCTGTCCGACAATACCACCGAACATAGCAGCCATGGGGTTCAACACGGCCCTAGCACCAAAAGCAAAGCTCCTAATAAGCTTTGGGTCAATTTCTTCCAATCTACCGTCAGGCAGGCTGTTGTTAATATCAGCAAGAAAGGCTATTAATTTTTGGGCATCTTCTTCTGATCCAGCGAGAGGAGGCCGCCCCACCTCCACTATGAACTTATCCAGTGCTTGAAATGCCAAGTGAAGGAGAGGCGGGCGATCAAATTTGGAAAAATCACTTAGGAGAAAATCGCCGGGGTCTTTAAGTGCCTGTTGCAGAGGCTTGAATTTCAACACTTTAGGTTCTTTTACTTGTGTGACTATACCACCTCTCTCATACCCAGCATAGTTACTTGTATCCTCTTCAATGGTGAATGAATAAGGCCTTGCATTTTTTATTCTTCTTGGCTTTCTATCATTCAGTTCAGTCATTCCTAGCACTTCGGAAAATACGACTAGCTCTCCATCTTGAAACTCCAGCCTCTCATCGTCAACACAAGACACGATGGCAGGATTGTCATTGCTGATAGAGGCAATAATGCCTGTGTGGGGTTCCTCACCATCAACATCAAGAACTGTAAACTCGGGGCCAAAATCACAAAATACGCTGCCAAAAAGACCCCGTACTTCAGACTTGATGAAAGCAATTGGAGGTTGATGCTGGTGGCAGTAATCATCGAATTCAATCGCTTTCTCTAAGCTGATATCAGTAAATACAACGGCCTGCAAAACATATATTGACAGTGAGCAAGCATGGAACATGAATTTAGCAGATTGATAAAGAAGAGATGTCTCAAGGAGGATAAATTCATTTAGAAAAGGTCAGAATGTTTAGGTCAGTTAAAATGGTGATTCTAGAAATGCTATGCAAGTATCCATTCTCCACATCTTTTAGTACATTGTGTATGTAAGTGTCTAATTTGCGCACAAAATACACATAATTATAGTGGCAACACAGAAAACAATTGGAGGCAAAAAAAGTGCTAAGTAATTATACAAGGATCAATGAGAATCCCAGACTGCTGGGCTCCCAGAGAGCACCAAACAAATCAAACCGACAACCTGAACAATTAAAACATAGAAAGGAAACATAACTTCACAAATGTAAGGATAGTCAAACAATCAGGCCATAGCATAGGTTCGTTACAACATTTTAGCAAAACATCAAAATACAATCAAGTCTTTGCAGTAAAAAGGAAAATGCAGTAAATTTTACCTGAAAATCAGATAGCTGCTCTTTAGTCAACTCAGTAGTTATTGTAGAAATGATCACTGTATTGTTGAGTTCTTGCAATTTTGGTACAGATACAAGAGCTCTATTTTTCCCCAAATCCTCTTCGGAGAAAAGAAAACTGCCAGAGAAATCCCACAACTCCACGGTACCCGTATCATGCAGCGTGACAGATTTAACACCAGCAAGAACAAGGTTTTTTGCTGTGAACAAACATAGGCACCATCATAAAACAACTTCCCAAATTTATACAATGGCTTCCAATAGATGAAAAGTGAACAAAAAATAACATACATGTACATTCCTTATATACAAAGAAAATTGATAAGAAAAAAAAAGTGATGAAGTTACTATAATCAAGTATACGCGTGTCATACGTGAAACCATTGCATACTCAAGGGAATCAGACGTAGAACAAGTAAACCACGCATTAAACTACTGTCATCCACATCTTTACCATGTATTTTTATTCTATATGACTAGGGTAGGCCTTGGGAAAGTGGATATGCTTTGGGAGCTTAAACATAGTGACTCGAAGTTGGAGGTCAAAGATTTGAGTTGACACAACTCACAAGATTACATAGAAAGGATAAGTGCAACTTTACTCTCCCCAAACTCAGACTCAGAGCAAGTAAATCACTCATAAACAGAGTATGCACTTTCTGCCTATGGGATAATTTGGCCAATCAAGAAGTTAGAGAAACAATTTGATCCAACTTAAGTTAATGGTTCAGTAGTAAAACAACCTAGAATTTTCATACATGTAATCACATATAGAAGAGCATTAAAGCCACATATGACTTACTACCAGACATACATTCACAGACAAAGATAGTACGTACGGAAATAGTAAACAGATGCTGAATGAAAATGCTATAGACAATGATTCCTCATAAGCTTAGATCTCAAATAAAAAACACCACAGACACTAAACGACATAAATGGAACATATTATCTATGCTAGGCCAGGGAGATGTACACCGTACACGATAATGTATTTCTATTCCAATAATTCCTCGTAGCCGAAGATTAAGCACCATAAATTGAATAATACAACTGGTCGTATTTATGAATATATCTTCAGCTGATATATATAGCTTGATTCATTCTAAAAGCATACATCTACCTTCAAACGCAGCAGTAGAAAAAAATATATAAGGATTCACCACAAAAGGACATCTACTTTGATAGAAACACATGGAAGTAGAAAAAAAAAACTGAAAAAAAAACACAGAAAGAGATACAGGCACATACACAAACAGATAGTGGTTACCTATTTCAGCACCGAGGCCTTGCATGCCAGAAATGAGAATATTAGAAGCGAACAGTCGGCGCATGGTCTCACGTCCATAGACGGCAAGCTGACGGCTGTGCAGATCCTCGTCGATCTCTAACTGAGCACCGCCGATCGGCGCCTTGCCGTTACTGACGCCGTTGTTTCCGTTAATACCATCACCTCCGGCCATATTAAACGTGGATGAAGCGGCGGATGACGTGGCAGCTGCGGATGCGAAATTGGTGCAGTGCTTTTTGGTCAACTCGGAATCAACAAATCCTAGCGCCGCTCCAGCTGTTCTCTTCACAGGAAGCATAAAGTCCGGTGAACTGTTTGAATTCGACATAATATTGATTCAACGATTAAACAATCAAAGCTCAGAAGCAAAAATACAACAATGAAAAAATAAAAAAAAACAGATCAACTAAAATTCAGGGGAAAGGGGAAAATACAGTGGGATGAAAGAAGAAAATAAAAAGGATGAGCGACAAAATAAAAAGGGGGAGAGCGTACCAGAAAAGGAACAGATTACGGATGTGTGTTTGCGTGTGATGAGATGATTAGGGTTTGAGGAGGGGGTTTGGATGGAGTGGTGAAATGTTTTAGGCTTGGGAGGAAAATGAGAGAGAGAGATAAATGAGGCTCGGAACTGGGGTTGTCTGGTCTGGTCTGGTCTGCGCGGATGGAATGGTAAAATCGTGTGTCGTAAATCGCAAGTGTTGTTAGGCGGTGGGGGGGGGGATTAAAAAATATTTATTTATAAAAATTAAAAATTGCGTCGACAGCAGGATTCGAACCTGCGCAGGCAAAGCCCAACAGATTTCGAGTCTGTCTCCTTAACCACTCGGACATATCGACTTCATTGTTTAATTTTTGGAGACATATATTAAACAAGGTAACTCGCAGGTGTTAAATGAAAAAAAACGTCAACAGCAGGATTCGAACCTGCGCAGGCAAAGCCCAACAGATTTCGAGTCTGTCTCCTTAACCACTCGGACATATTGACTTTATTGTTTGGTTGTCGGAGACATTAATTAAAGAATGTATAACTCTCAAGTGTTCAATAAGGAAAATATCGTCGACAGCAGGATTCGAACCTGCGCAGGCAAAGCCCAACAGATTTCGAGTCTGTCTCCTTAACCACTCGGACATATCGACATTAATGATAATTTGTAAAGCTGTAAATTCTATTTATTATTAGTGAGTATTTATTTGGTAGTCTAATATGGGCCCGAGTTGGACTAATTAAACTTGATAGGCTTCACAATTGGTCTTCCATTTGAAAGAAATTTGGGCTTGAGCTTATATAGCCTTCTGGGCTACGCTTGAAGAAAAAGACGTTGAAATGAAATTAGAAAACAATATCGTTTTATAATTTTAAGGGCCCAATTGTGGGTACAAATAAAAATAAAATGTCATTTTATATATTTATGGACTGAATGTGTGAATCATCTATAATATGGGCACAAAATGTTAATTACCCATATTTGAATGACTAATATGTAAAAGAAAAAAAGTAAAGCACAGAGGCGTCAATGTTTTTCCAGCAATTATACCCCATCTTCAAATTCTCCGATTCTTCCTTCTCCCGCTCACTGTAAATCCATCACCTCCGCTTTGTTCAAATCTCTTTCGACTACTGAAGGAAAAATTAAATAAAATCCAACTGAAAGTAATTTGTCCAGATCTCCCTGAATTCCGTTAATTTTGTTATAAAAAAAAAATCAGCAAAAATCGAAACCCTATAAACCCTCGTAGTCGCGCATTATTGAATCTTCATCGTAAGAGTATACAATGGGAGAGAAATCGCGAAAATTGGATATGGAAGAGCTGATGAATTACAGCAATAATCTGATAGAAGTTCTGAAAGAGGAGAAGGATGCAATTGGTCTCGATCATTTTCTGCGCCATACCGAAGCATCTCAGTCGCAATGGGCGAAACACCACCACGAAGTTGCGAGCTCCATTGAAGGTCATATCTTTTCGTTAGTGTTTTTCCTTTTTACCCCTTCAAATCTCTTTTACAGAAGATGACAGTGGTTTAAAATTGTTTGTGGAATATTTTTTTGATGCTGTGGAAGTTTACATAATTAGTTAGAAATAATTGGTTTTTGATAGGGATCTTTTAGATCTTATGTTGATCTTAATTAAATTCTTAATATTTATGTGCTCTTTTGATGAGTGGGCAAAGTTGTGAAATTCCTAGTGGATAAGATGTTTTGCGTTGCATTAGTTTACCGGATCGCACAATATTGATATTGATACGAAATTATATACATCATAAATCATGTGTGAGAAAAAGGAATTGGGAGGTGGTTCTGTAACAATTTTTTTCCCTAATCATTTGGGTTAGCACTTTCTGTATGGAGGTGCTTTGTTTGGAGTTATTACTGACTAAAGATTAGAAAAATAATAAACTCAGCCGCAGAAAAAGATCGTCTGCTATCTGCAATCGTGTTGCTTAAAACAGAATGTGAAGTATATCGGTTGTTGTTATATAATAGAGTGTCTAAAACTTCTATAAGCTTCTTGATTTTTGAAAATCCCACCCGTTGTGTAATATAGGAATGAGCTTTATGAAATTCTTAATCTATTGACTTGTTCTTGAATTGGATATATGCGACGTACTTACATCAATGTGGTGTAATGGAGTGGCATATGTGTCATGGAAACAGAATTTGCTCAAAACAAATTGGTAGGATATCGTATATTTGTTAGTTTCGTGTGCTGATAGTTTAACCTTATCACAGACTATAAAAGGAAGATTAATGCATCAAAGCAAGAAGCGGCAGCTGCAGAATCTGACACCGTACCAGATGCTGAGTTAGATTTGTTGCAGAAAGTATTGGATGAGGAACATCAATTAGAACGGAAGCATAGGGAGGATCTTAGATAAGTATTATGGTTTGTTTTCAGCCATTTATCTTCCGGTTCCT